CCAGTTATTGTCTCTAATACTGACCGCCACCAAACTACAATAACTGCATTAAAAAGTGTTTTTTAGGCATATTCAGCAAACATTTGAAAAATGACTGTTGGTTTTATTATATTATTCTTCCCTTTAAAGGTTTGATGTATCACTTTTTGGGTGAAAAGAGGTTTTCCTCTTTTCTCAATGTAAAGCATAAAATAATATCTAGTTTAAAACCCAGGTCGTAACTCTACCCTTTCTGCTTCAAATAATCTCCTCGCAGAAACACTAGTTGGTCTTAAAATTTAGTGATAAATACTCTGGGTGTTTATTTTTTAGGTTTATTGATAAGATTTAAATTAGATGAAGTCTTAAAAAAAAAAAAAAAAAAACATTCAGGAGCAACATGAAAAATGCAGACATTCACGGTTTCCAATACTATTCATAAAATAAAATGCACAATTCACATTAAAGGATAAAAATATGTAGTAAATCTACCAAACGCTAAGTTTATCACCTGTTTTACGAGCTGCAGATTTAACTTTTCATCCTTTTTTTTCCATTATATCAAAACTCACATACAGTAATAACCAGAACAAACAATGGACCGACAGTAATTAGAAACAGCTGGGTTAAAAAAAACATGTAAGAGCATGAAAAGTTTATTCTTTTTTCACAGGCAAACATCAGCTAGCTGTTAGCTCCATTAGCAGCACAGGCTAACTATGACCCACGTGTCTCTATTTATCTACCAACACGCATCTTACATTTCCTACAAGGTAGCTTACCCGAGTTGGAATATCGTTATAAGTTCAGGTAAATTCAAATCCCAACGAGAGAGTTTGTTTTTTATTAAAATGTTGGTTTATTTGCAAAACAAAAACAGATCTCACAACTCCAGCGCCGCCATGATTGTATTTGTACAGCAAGCAACGAGGGACAAATGAGACCGGAGTTATTTTTGCATACGCAGAGCGGGAATGACCACTGATTGATTTGGTATTCCGGGAATATTTGCAATCCTCCCTTAAAAAAACAACATAATTTATATAAATGTATGTATTATGCCCAGACCTATTATTTATCCCACTATCTAAAACATTTGAAGTAATTCTTCAGTCAAACTGAAAACATATTATCTCACTTTTTTGTCTAAGCATGATTTTTGTTATAATAGCAGCCAATTAATATGGGAATACTGTATGTGCCCTTTCAAAATCTGTAGAAAGTATACTTTGATTTTAAGAAACTGAAAAAACTACACAAAAATGTATGAGATCCCTACTTACACACATACATGCATATATTGATCAGACAAAACTATACTTATTGTATAGCCTACTATTGAAAAAGCTGTTGTGCTACACATATAGACACCGACTAAAGTGTTAAATTGATAAAGTTCAAAATGCACAACTTAAAGTCAGAAGTGTAATTTAAAAAATTGGTTGGTGGAATTTTAAAGGTGGGGAAAAGGTAAGGATAATAAAAGAGACTAACGCTGGATATATCTTCAGGTATTTCGAATCGTCTTCACAGCAGGTAGGGCGGGTACCATAAATCAAGTGTTTTCTGTATGAGAGCCAGATTGATTGTAAATGCACAAACTTCCAATCAAAATCATAACTACAGCTGTGCATCTCTAAAAAACTTTTTTTTATAGCAATATCCACCTGTATATTGTATTCGGTACATATCCAGCTGTAAATTTAGTTCATAAGACTTGTAATCATATATTATATTAATTATTTATAATAGTATTCATCTCTATACTCATTCAGTAGAAACCCATGTCCTGTATTTATGGAACCATTATTTATCCTGCACTTGCTGCTATTGCACTTCTGGTTAGACCTAAACTGCATTTTGTTGCCTTGTACCTGTACCTGTGTAATGACAATAAAGTTGAATCTAATCTAATCTAATCACTACAGCTGTGCATCTATAACGTTTCATGAGTTGCACACTACTGGTTTTCAGACTTGGCAATAAATAGTGTCACTGAGCACTGATCATAGTTTGGACATTGGAGGAAAAGTTAGTTTAATATCCATCAGATTGCTCTAAACATTTCTAATGCAATGTTTGATAAGTGGCTATTGGGGCTTACTAATTCTAAGTTTGGGTTTCTTTGATTGCATAGTGTCTGAAAAGTGTAACCCTATACTTCTGTACCATATATAGAAGCAAAGCCGTCACTTCTCTAAATTCCATTTCAAACACACCATCTTCTCGAACCCCAGTCAGCCTCAGCAGATGGCTGCTCACACTTACCGGTAACCTGGTTCAGCTAGAGGTTTCTTCCTGTTAAAAGAGTTTTTCCTCTCCAATGTTGCTACAAGCATGCTTGTTGTGAGGGATTGCCTTTGAGTCAATGAGTCGATGTAATCAACTGGTTTTCCTTAGATAGAAAACTTTGAGTCAAATCGATTATATGGTGAACTGTAAAGTGCCTTGAGATGACATGTGTTGTGAATTGGTGCTATATAAATAAACTGAATTGAGAAACTTGTGATTTTCACTCCATTGATCATTGTTTAGGCATGGAACTTAAAGATCAATATTTCTCAATGTTCTTTTTTCCACCACTATGCAGACACATTTAAATAAGAGATGCCAAGAAATTATTGGCTTATATTGCTTTATTTTATTTTTTTTCTCCATTGCAAATTTCCAGAATACAAAAAAGCATCAAATTACCTCCTTTCCAGACCCGCCAACCCACCCAAAACTCAAAAATCCCAACTTTACGGAGAAACAATTCAGAACTGGACAACACACATAAAAAAAAAAAAAACATCCAATTAGTTTACTTAACATTCAACAGCACTGTCACCCATGCATTCAAACTGCAAATTAGTTTTCTTCAGGGTTAGTGAAACCAGGCCATATTCATCCAGCCAGATTTTTCCTATTTTTCCCCACATAACATTTGCAAATATATTCATGTGTAGGTTTGTATTTGGTAACAGCTCAAGAATGTTCGTAAATCAGATAGATATCGATCTGATCTATACTTGAGCTGTTATAACAATCCTAAGTAGTTTTGCAGGATCTAATCACACATCAGAATCATACCATAGAAAAACAAGCGTCAATTTCACGTCACCGATTCTAGTAAAAAACACTATCCTTCAGTGGTGCTTTTAAAATATTTGAACATTTCTTTGTAAATCTATTGAAAAGTATATTTTCCAAACCCCCCCCCCAAAAAAACACAGGAAACATTTTCATCACACAAAAAATAGTTGGTTGCTTGAAATGGATGCAAAATAGCTCATCTACAAGAACTGGGGAGTATTGTAAATATGCTTCGTGTAAAATTATTGATAAAGCCAAAATTGAACAGATTTAGGGTAACTCTTCGATCAATCGCTCTTGGCACTCCATAATAAAGGGAAATTACAGGGTTTTTAACCGTCTCCATGTTGGTAGAAAATTTAAGACCTGATCACAGAGTTCCAACAAATTTTGGTTTTAGGTTCAGCTTCAGTCCTAGATCTATAGTGTCTAGATTTGTCCATTATCGCATATAGAAAACAGTAAAAACAAATTCAGTCTAAAAGTCAGAAAGTTTTTCTTGGCATGTAAAGACAGTCCAAGAACCACATGACCTTTTCTTTGAAACCTTTTTCAAAGGGTCCACAGACAGAGAGTTTTTCCTCAGTCCAAATGATTTTCTAATGAAATCTGGAGATTGAAATATTTGACTTCCAATTTAAGCATCAGACTTCAGTTCTTCCAAGAATGTAGGAACCCTGTGATCATCCACGGTTGCTCAGCAGCACCGACACAATTTTAGGAGTAAATAATAATGAATTAAGTCATGAAAAGCTGTTTTTGTGGGGGTTTTTACAAGATTTTCTACTTTTTAACCCAACAAAAACTAAATAACGTATAGAAATCATCTAGAAATTATTTTCATTGCATCCATTTTTTTTTCTTTTTCCACATCAAACATGCAACCTTTGAATGACTTAAAATATGTTATCAAACTGATATAAGAGCATTGGTATTTTCAGCCTTAACATTTAATGTTGTAAAATCCAACCCCGCTTCTATAACAAAAGGGGAATTCAAATAATCTCACTCACTATGGCATTGACCTCTAGAATCTATTACTATTTTCTAACATTTAGTGAGAGGTAGCCTACAGTACCTTGTGCATTGATGGAAAAAAAAAAATAGAAAACTGTACATGAGTTTACTTACACACAGCTGGCTTAATCTGTCAACTCATTCATGCTGTACACACTATTACACATTAGTCAAGTCTGAGGGGAGGGGTCAACACTAGCAGCAGGAGGATTATCTGTGACTGATAAAAGCCAGGGGGGGGGCTGATATGTAGGCAGCTTCTAAATTGAATAAGGTGTTATTCAGAACCAAGGGTGAAAAATACTTTTTTTTGTTAATGATAAGTTTGTATATCTGGCAGAAATGATCAGATTCATTCACGATCTTCAGTTGGAAAGTGTTAAAACATTTAAAAATGAGAAAAAAAAAAGGTTCCAAGCACACTTACTTAACAGGAATTTATGAGACTATTGCAGGAATTTAGGAGACAGGACAACAGCAAGACGAAGCTGTTTGGGTTTTGAATTGACAAAGTTTCAAAAACTATGCACTGCAGAAAATTTATAGGTTTACATATCTGCTAAACCTCTGACTTCAGAAGGGTTATGGCTTTTTTTGTGTGCACGACAGGGGCTCTGCAATTTCAAAGAGACTAAACTTTTATGTTGTATACACATTGCACAATTATAATTTGCAGCGCCCCACTTTATCACAACAAGACCATCTCCAGACAAGCTGTCACAGCACCCAACATTCACCTGTGCACCAAAACAGTGACATGCGGCTCTCGTTTGGAGAATGGTGGTCAAACATACGAGGGTGGCCCCCAAACCACCTCCTGACCCTTACCTTTCATATTTTTCACATCTAAAAGAAAAAACAATTCTACATTTGCACAAAAGGGTGCCACATTTATAGCGGCACAGCCTTCAAACACACATCCTTGTTGTAATAAAATGAAATCTATTTTTAAAATTCTTTACTCTCTCACCCACAACACTTGGCATTAAACACATAAGGGGTTTCGTACTGCGCACCAAATTGTAAAAAATAAACCTGAAACTATGAAATGAAAGAAAAATCTACTTGCATGGTTCCCCTTTTCTGCATTTGGACTTTTGTGATCATGCCGCCATGTTAAACTCAACAGTCAACCAGGACAGTGATGCTAATGCCAAGTTTTGTGGCGTTTTTTTCCTTCAAATTGCCTTTCTGTACAAAGGCTTTGTGAAGAGAGCCGATTCCCTTTACCTACAGTTTCTTCCACCTGTGTTAAAAAATATCCGAGGGGGGGAGGGGGATGAAAGACACTATCAAAGCTCTGCGTTTCCATCTCCGTCTTTCAGCCAATGCTAGCTGCACAGGAGATCATCCAGGCCAAGCGAGGGCATTTTATCAAAGTCACAGGCGTCGAACAAGTCACTGATTCCCTGGTCGTCTTCTAAACCCAAAAGGTAGTCATCTTCCAGGATGGGAGGCACCAGGTTTAAGAAGGGACCTTGGGATGAATGGACCTGGTCTTCTGTCTGCTGGAGGAGACTGGTGTATGGGGACGAGATGGGGGACAACGTTGTCACGGAGACGGCTGAGGAGGATGTGGGTGGAGACAGGAAGTTGCTGGGAGATGTGGTCGTGCAATGTGAATCTGCAACAAAAAAAAAAAAAAAAACACCGCTAGTTTTTAGTGATGATTCAGATTCGGAAAACATGACATTGCAAATTTTAAGATGACGATGAATATTATGACTAATGATACTCGTTTTCATTGTAAGCACACAATCACTCAACTTTCAAATCCTTGCTAGTAAAATATAACTGAAAAAAAAAACAAACAGAATAAAAACAGACCTAGAAGTCAGATATAATATAATAGAAAAGCTGATTTTAAGTGAAAACCCCACGATTAGAGAAACAAGCAAATGCTACAGAATCTGCAATCACAATATAATTGCTGACGAAGCTAAAGATTGTTTCACAGTAAAAAAAAATTCTGCTCAGCTTTGTAAAACCAGCCTGTCCTAAAAATATAAATCAATCACAGGAAAGATTGTCATCTTGATTTGAAAAAAAAAAGGGACAGCCCTACAGGTTGGTGGATATGCTGAGCTGCTGTAGTATTGCAGCCATTGGCTGGATTCCAGCAGGTAAACTGACTGAGAACGCCACATATGGACCTTCAGCCCTATAAAAAGCCTGGATGCTGTGCAGCCGGTCAGTTCATCCCGGGTCACATTTCCATGTGGGTGGAGCGATCTTACAGTGAGTAGCGTGACGACTTGGTCGTCATTCCTCCCTCTGTCATGCTCGTTCCTCCAGGGTCAGATTTGCTATTTGGTTTCCCAGTTGAAAGCTCAACATTTACATTTAACCTTCGTACTCCTGGCTTTTGTTTATTTTAAAGGAAAATGCAAAAAAAATATTTTAAAACCTTCCTCCTGTGCCCTTTTCACACTTTTTGAAGTCACATCCTATGAGCCAGGTTGTGACTTTGTCAGTTTTGGGGCAAAACAGAACAACTATTCATTAAGTGGTACAAAGGTTGTCTGCACACATTGTGGAGACCCACAGAAGTAAACACAGGTAGGGAAGATTTATGTTTTTTATTACATTTTCCACCCCAGTCCTAGAAAAAAAGTTTTTAAAGGATTACTAAAACAATTATAACCTGGGAGTAAAAGGATGTATGAGGGAAAGGTGCAGGACAAGGGGACAGCATAATCTATCCTTGGGCAGTTGGTGTTAGCTTAAAGGGATAGTTCGGGATTTTTGACATGAATCTGTATGGCATCCCCATCACCAGTGTCATGCAATCACACTGACTTACCCCTGGCAGCGTCCTGTGAGCAGAGTTCTCGTCCAGCTTTGGTCAAGCAGAAAGTAGTCCGGCAGGTTTGTTAGACCCAGCGAAATAAAACGTTTCTCTTCCCAAAACATTACACCATGACCTGACAGCTA